TCTCCATTGATAAGACTCTTCCCAGGCAGTCTTCCTTGACTTCTCCTGCAGTAGGCCCTGCTTTGATCCCTATAGCTCTCTGAACTTTTCCCCCTCCATATTTGATTGCTGGTTTGTGTCCATCTCCCTTAACTCACCATTAGCTTGAGAGGGGAAAGATCAATTTTTCTTTGACCACCATTAATTTTCCAGTGCTTGACAACAGAAAATAGTAGATACCTAATGAAGATGTGCTGGATTTTTGTTTTGTATAGTGTTGTTTCTATAGCACTGGGAATTGAACCCAGGGCATCACATATTCTAGGCAAGCTTTACACCACTAAGCTACATCCGCAGCCCATTTATTTATTTATTTATTTACTTACTTACTTATTTATTTATGAATGAATGACCAGGTCTCCCTAAATTGTCCAGGCTAGCCTTGAACCTGCATTTTTCCTTCTTCAGCCTTCCAAGTGGCTGAGATTACAGGCATGCGCCCACCTGTTTTTGTTTTGTTTTCATGCTAGGGATTGAACCCAGGGCATCACACATGCTAGGCATGCTCTCTATCATTGAGCTACTGATCCAGCCCTGAATTACTGACTGAAAGAAAGATGAATGGGTAGATGGATGGATGGATGAGGTTTATCATTCCCTCAAAGTTACCATCTCTCAGTAATTGAGTAATTTATCTTTCTGGTTGTGACAAGTTAACTTACCCAGCTTCCCTACTTTGTCAGCAGTCACTCAAAAGACAGTGAGTCATAGAGGTTTGCATCTTCTTACTTTATATCCTACCTTAATCATTTACTAACCATAGAATGGGATGTAATTTATTTAATTCTATGAATCTAATTTTCCTCATTGTAATATGATATTGTGAGGCTTACTTGCAGGAAGTAATCAAATGGCTGCTATTTCTTAGTGTACAGTATATTAGCTCTCTTACACTCATCTTGGGTGCCTCTTTTCTTGGCCATTCCCTGTCCTACCCACAATCATTGTTAAATTCTTAACCCTGTCCAATCTTTCTTCCCAAAGATTTCTAGTTTTGTTTTGTTACCCTTCTGTCATCTGCCCTTCAAATGCAACAGATTCTAACCAGTCCCTCTGCTTCAGGTTTCCCTTCCAATGCATCATGCTGTCCCCCATTCTGGTGGCTCCAGAATCCCCACAGAGGAGATATTTAGGGTAGCACTCTTTGGCACCCCATAAAGGAGAAGACTTGAAACTGCATATGCAGGTTGTTACAGGGCAGAGACCTGCCATAAAACTGAGGCAGCAATTGTGCCAGGAAGATTTCCAACATCTCTGTCAGAGCAACAGGAATGAGTTTATTAGAAAGGATAGGAAAAGGGAAACGATGACATTTTCAAGGGAGACAGAGCATTCCTTCTAGTTTTATTGAGAGGATCCCTGCCCATATACAACTTTTGACTTTTGACAGACAGCATAGGAACTACACGGTCCACTTCCAAGAGAGCATGCTATATTGCTCTTAGAGTTGGAGTTTTTAAGAAAATTGAGTCCTCCCCATTTTTGCCTTAATTTCTTGCCCCCTTACTCAGTTTATTACTCTTTGAATAGCCCCCATCAAGCTTTTTTGTGAGGGTCTTGGTGTTTTGGTTGCCAGGGTCATTGGGAGTTGTGATGGTTTGGTGACAAGGGAGGATTGAAGGCACCTGGGAGGGTGTGACATAATCTTAAAACAATAGATTTTATTTATTTATTTATTTGCTTATTTATTTATTTTGCTGGTGATTGAAGGGGGTTGTGCTTTGCCATTGAGCCACATCCCAAGCCCTTTTTATTTTTGATTTTGAGACAGGGTGTCACTAAGTTGTTCAGGATCTCCTTATCTCAGGGCCTTGCTAAGTTACTGAGGCTGGCCTTGAACTTTGATCCTCCTGTGGGCAATAGTGTTTTCTTAAGGGATATAATTGCAGCTAGGGGAGGTTTTAATATACTAAAGTCCCTTCTTCCTGTAAGGCTTCCTGTGGTTTTCAGTTGCCCTTCATCGTCCTGTTCCTACTCACCTATTTCATGGCTTGCTAGCTACCTGACACATATCACTTTACAAAATACTGAGATAATGTCCTTTATCCATATGAAAGCATGGGGTAGGGAGATGGATGGACATGAAAGACAAGACCCACTACTACCCAACCCTTGACCTCACCTCTGGACTGAAGTTGCCGATTTACACATCCTGTGGTTCTCATCAAGGTATTTTTGTTAACATCTTTTTGATGAGAAGATGCAGAACAAGTTCCAGAATTCTTTGCGTTGCATTAAGAATCCTTCACAATTTTGGCTTGTCTTAGGTATTTTGCTCCAATTTTCAATTTCATTTCATATATATCATTTCATTCAATGCCCTCTAAATACACCAAAGCGATACCCAACTCCATGTGTTTGTCCAGGAATGCCCCACCCAGGGCTCCACCCAGATCCTCTCATCTAATGAATGCTATTCCTCCCCAAGACCTGGCTCAGGCTTTCTTCAATGACACTAGCCTAGTGTGCTTGTCACAGAACTTCCATTGTTTTGTTGTCAGGGTCATCAATCTGATGCTTTACTTTCTGACATTGTTGTTGAAACATTTCACATGTGATCTTTTCTCTCCTAATACACTGGGAGAGCCATTAAGAGTCAGGGCCACCACCTGATTCTTTGGTTCCCCACAGCACCCAAGCATAATCCGTTGACCTCAGAATAGGTAGGGCATGGATTGCTGAGTTATACGCCACACCAGAAGCACTCTTACTTTGCAAGGATGGCCCAGAAAAGAGGCTTTGAATTTAAGGCCAAAAGCCCTCCCCCAGGATGGTGAACCAAATACCTACTGGTTATAAGACTTTGGACCTGAGAAAACAGTATTTATGACCCAGTCTCAGCCTAACCAAATCATTTCCTGTGTTGATGGCTAATGATCTTGAACTGAAAGCATCTTGATACCTTGGACTTGAGCACATCTGCCTACACCCACACACATCTGTCTTTATGTACAAACCAGCCCTCAAGCAATAAACAGCCTAGAGTAACCAGGTCCGTGAGAAAGGCCACCAGTGATGGAGGAGCAGAGGTGGGGCCTTAAAAACATGCGAATATACTTCCCCTAGGAAGAAATAAAGAGGGGGAATCTGGATAAAGGGCATCAAAGAATTTTTGTACTATTTTTAAAAACTTTTTGGTAAGTCTAAAATTTTGTCAAAAAATTTAACAAATTAAAAAACAAACAAAAAATTACTTTCCCTGTATAGTTTCCTTCCTTGTTCTTTATACTTTTTTTCCAACACATTTATATTGGGATTATAATTGTGAATACATTTGTTTTCCCCATTACCCAAGAAATATAAAATGAAAAATAAAATTACTTCAGAGTCAAAGAAACCTTAAATACTTCATAATAGAAAATGTAGTAATTCAAGGGCCAGGGTTGTGGCTTAGTGGTAGAGTGCTCACCTAGCATGTGCGAGGAATGGGTTTGATCCTCAGCACCATATAAAAATAAATAAAATAAATGTATTGTGTCCAACTACAACTGAAAAATAGATGTTTAAAAACGTGGTATTTTAAAATATTAAATTATAATGCTAATATTGGAATAGAGAAGTTTTGATATTTATTTTGTGATCCAGGGCAAAATATTTAGCCCTAAGTTGTCATTTCCTCACCTAAATTGGAATTTAAAATGCCTACCAGTTAGCACTGTCATAAGAATTAAATAAAACATTAATTAATATAAATCCTGGTCCATAGTTGGTGCCAATTTTTTTTTAAAAATGTCAATTAATTACCAAGTTATAGTCACTTTGTGTCCTCCACACCTAAGATATCATATGGCACTGAGTGAATGCATAAGAAATAGTTACAAAAGGAGTGCATGAATAAATGCTGCAATTTTACTAAGGCAACTCTACATCGGATCTCAGAGCCCCAAGAACGGCTCCTGCTTTTGCTAACATTTGTGAATGTCCTGGCCTCTGCTTTCCTCCACCTTTGAAATGGAACTGGTTTTCATTACAACTGTTAAGGACTGAGCCAGTTAGGACTAAAGGTCTTGGGCAGAGGGATGGAAAAACTAGATGAAGATGTGACCTAGTAGGCCACTAGCCCTCTGGGGTAATCTGGCAGCTGCCCAGCTTCTCAGGCTGTGGCCCCAGCTCCCAGTCTAGACTCCAGTGAAGGAAGGTGAGCGATTGTATCCTCACTCAGCCTTCCATGGGCATTGAGAGACTGGGGCCAGAGAGCGCAGGTCCCAGCTTTCTGGAAGGCCCGGTACAGGTTTCACGGTCTAAGCTCCAGGCAGTGAGTCCTGAGTGCCGCTCTCACAGTTCTTTACTCCGAAGGTCCCCTTTCGCCACTACTGACCAACTGGATCTTAAAGTACCAAACCCCTAAGGCCAAATAAAGGTAGGAGGGGACCGCGCCTGTCCTGTTCAGCAGCCAGACTCCAGGTGTGGGCCTCCTTGTCAGGGTCGGGGGTGCCCAGGGAGTGCTCGCTGTAGCTCGAAGGAGGACTTCATTCCTCTGCCTTCTTTTTCCTGAAATGGGATGGTGCCAGTTTTGCCAGGGCCCTGTGCAATGCAGTTTGTTCTTATGTTTCCTGAAGGACCCCATCCTATCAAGATCCGGATCCCCACTTCACCAGGACGGTGGCTAGCTTAGCTCTGCCCAGATCCGAGCGTGAACACTAAGGGCAAGAGAGGATGAGCAAACGTAAAAGGTCAAGGGAAAGCCAGACAAAGTGTGGCTGCGAGGTGCCAGAACAGGCAGTTAAGTTGGAAATGCAACCACCAAACCGGTTGGAGACTGTCTTAACAACCCATGCTCTACTGTCTGGGTGATCGGTCTGGTAGCTTCCTACTGTCCAAAGCCGACAGGGAAAGGACAGGAGAAAGGAGGAGGGAGGAGAAAAGAAAGGAGAAGTAGGAAGAATGTAAATAAGAGAGAAGAGAAATAACTGAGTTGGAAGAGAAATGGAAGCAAAGAGTGGTGTGTGAGACGGAAGACGAGATGCAAGAGAGAAATGGAGAGAACAGAAAGAGAATTGAATTAACAAGGCCTCACCCTACGGCTCTTGGCCGAAGTGTTACTGTTTCTCTCCTACACAGAATCAACCCAACACCCAGCGCCTCCAGCAACCAAACCGCCTCCGGACCGACCCCAATTCCCCCGCGTCCTCCCTCCAGACCCTGAGGTAGATCCCAGCCCCGGCCAACTCTAGCCTCTCCCCCGCCGAGCAGCCCCCACAGCTAACCCCAAACGCGGAGAAAGAGGGAGGGAGGGAGGAAGGGAGGGAGCCAGGAGGGAGGGGCTGCGGTAGGAGGCAACCATGTGGTTCCAGCTCAATTTTTTTTCCTCTCTCTTTCTCCACTCGTTTTTCTTTCCAAACAGGGAAAAGTGTTCCTTGAAGCAGTAGTGCCTTTCCGACTCGCCTTCTTTCCCCCGACCCTACTCCGGGCTCGGGTCCGAGTGCGAGCTAGTGGGGCGAGCGCTGGAAGCCCCACGGTGCCTGGGAGCGCAAGGCGCCGGGACCCGGGAGAGGGGCGCGGGGACACAAGGCGTGGGGAGGGCTGCTGCGCCCGCACATGGCTGCAGCCCCCCGCGCGCACCCCGAAGCGCCGCGCCCAGCTATCCAAAGGTCTGTCGGCTGCGCCCAGCCGCCCAGCAACCAGGCAGCCGCTGAGCGGGGAAGTGCCCGCGTCCGAGAATCGGGATGTCCCTCCTCCCGCTCCTCTTGCTAGGTGAGTGCCTCGGGGAGGGCGGGAGTTTGGATGGCTCGGGGCAAACACAGCCCTGCGTCCGGGAAGACTCGCCTTCTGCACCGTGGTTCCCCGTAGCCCTTGAGTGCGCGGACCACTGGGTCCCTGCCTACCCGCCACGCAGGAGCGCATCTGGCAGCGGAGGACCGCCCAGTCGGCCATCGAAAATGTCTCACACATCTGGGCCCTTGAGCTGGCTGGGGGTTGGGGGGCATTTCTTAGTCGAGTTTGGCCGTGAACCATTTGATGTGGAGGGTCCTTCTTAGGGAGGTATTTGGTTTCAGGAGAATTGGGGGAGGGAAGGTTCATCAAGGAATTTTTGTGCCAGGTTCCTGAGGGTGGGGGGAGCTTTTTTGTTTCAAACAGGCGCCTCTGAGCGCTCAGATTAGAAACAGATGTGTTGAGGGGTAAGAGGAAGAAAGAGGGGAAGAGACTGGGCAGGAAAGGAGAGAAGGAAAAGGGGAAAGAGCGCAAGGACCATGAGAAGGTGCTAGCGCTAAAGGCGACGCGTAGAGGAAGGAAAAGGGGAAAGGGGAAGATAGGGAAGCAGAACAGAATAGCGGGGACCGAGCGAAGGGAAGGGGATGAAGACTTAAAACGAATGGAAACAGAGCGAGCACCACTTTTTCTTAAAACATGCTCTGGAGAGAGAAGAGCCCTCCTAGGTGTCCCTTTGTGGCCTCAGACGTCCTAAAGTAGGTTGACTTACCTAGACTGGAGAGGGAGGGGCGGGTTTGCAGGACAGGACCCCGCAGGGAATGAGCAGCCCGAGGTTCCAGAAGGGGAATGAGACTATGTGAGTGGCCAGGACAGGGGAGGCAGCAGAGAGAACTAAAGAAAATTCATAGTGTACCATGAATGCAAGCTTGGGGTCCACCTGGAGAAAGGACCCAAAGTTACCAGGAATTCAAAAATCAAAGAGCCCACTGGGGTGGTGGAGGATGGCTGATGGTCCTGCTCAGGACAGGAGACAAACACTGAGGGAAGCACTAGCAGAACTAGTCCCCAGTTTGAAATGACTAGCTGGAAGATCTCTGCCAGCTTACTCATTATTCAGGGTTTCAGTTTCCTTAGCTCTGAAACAAAATGAGATTGTTCCTAAGGCTCTTTTGGCCCTGAAAACCTACAATAGTAGGTGATGGAGGGAAGCTGATGTCTAGAAGAACCAGCAAACAAAAGTGAAGAGGCACTAAAGAGCCACCTTGGGATAGGTGGCCAGAGCTCTCTCTTTCTTTGGAACTTTACAAACTGTAGGCCATACTCAGACTGGTAACCACCCAAGCTAGCGGAATGGAAGAGGTGGGCTAACCTAAACTATTGCTCAAATAGGATGGGAAATGCCTTTGGCTAAGTTTTGCAACATATGCCCTTTTGCACATCTGACCCAGGTGGATAGCACCTTTGTCTCCTTCACCACTGAGTTCTCAATTACCAAATGTTTAGTAGACTAAAACATTGGAGTCCTCTTATGAGGTCCTTGTTAAACTGAGCACTTTGTATGTACTATTTTGTTAACTCCTTTATTCTTTATACCAACACTATTGGCTACCCTTTGTGATTAACCTCATTTTTCTGATGAAGAAATCAAGGTGTAAAGAGGTCAGATAACTTGCTCAAGGCCATGAGCTCATAGTTAGCAGAGATGGGATTTGCAGGTAGGTCAAGTACAGTTAATGGTGGAAGTGATAAGTGACTGGTCCTTATGATCAGTTGCCATCTGCTGTTGTACCTGGTTGTGAACACCTGTGATGATCAGCTTTAGTTCAGGAGAAAGGAGGATCTGAGCAAGATGTGGGTCAAAAGATGTCATAATTCACCAACCCTTGTTTATTGAGTGCCTACTGTGCACAATCATTCCTCTGGTGAGAAAATACAACCCTGCCTTCATCATTAAAGTCATCTCTCTGATTTCTCACTTGGGTCTGTCCTGTGTGTGTGTACGTGTGTGTGTGTGTAAGAGAGAGTTTTGATGCACTGGGGATATAACTCAGGGCCTTGTGCAACTGTTATACCATCAAGCTATATCCCCAGCCCTTGGGTCTTCCTTTATAAAATTTTTATAAACTAATGTCTGGGTATAAGAGAAAAGTGGACTTGTGACTTAGAATTCTGCACAACTGGATTTTCATTGTTCACATCTACTATTAATCTTTTGCTACATGTAGGACTTTGTCAAGTATCCTTGAACTCATGACATCTGGACTCTGAGTTGATTAAACTGTTCAAGGAAGAGACAGACATCAGAGGGGAACAACACTGAAGGAACCCCTCTCCAGCTGACATCTCTGCAGGAATCAGGAGCCCCCATGGGGAAGCAGTTCTCCTGACTGGATTAGCCCTGATTACAAAGATGTTTTGAACCCTGATATGCTTGAGGACTCTTTAGAAAAGTCAAAAAGAAAATCCACAGAATTGCCTGAATCTTAAAATCATCTCTGGGCCTTTAAAGGGGCAGTTCTGGGGCTGCTTCTGATTATGGCTGGCTTGATTTCAGGCTTTTCTTTTCCTAGAAAATGCACAATACAGCAGAGAAATTAAGAAGGCTGAGAGAGTCCAGAGTCTCATTAAGGATGGGCCAGTTGATTCTTTAATTTCTGGACCAGCCAATAAGTGAAGTCAAATGCTCTGCCTCTGATGTGAACAAACAAGTAGTGCTCTGAGCCCTGCGGAACAGGAAGGGGGACCCCCACCTCTTCAAATACCACCCCAATCCTCCCCCGTTGTTAGGGTCTCATGATTCCACCTTAACTTTCCTGGACATCATAATCCCATGCTACATTTGTGTCCTACCTGACTCTCTCCTCCATCCTGCACACTGCTACCTTATGAAGTAGCTGGTAGAATGCAAAGGACTTGGACTTGGGAGTCTGTCGAGCTCCCTGGGTGCTTGTTCTGACTCCTTTGTTGGTAAAATGAGGGTGGGGTACATGGATCTGGAATTCAAAATTTCTATAACCATGATCTTTCTCCCTTCTCATAAACACTTGGTAGTGCCCATTGTTTTTAATATTGAGTGCAAATACTTCAGTCTGAGAGGATGGGGAAAGAGTTTGGTTTCCCAGAAAATGAGCTTAAGGAAGACTTGAAAGTATAAGCCACTGGGGCTGGGGATGTGGCTCAAGCGGTAGCGCACTCGCCTGGCATGTGTGGGGCCCGGGGATCAATCTTCAGCACCACATACAAACAAAGATGTTGTGTCCGCCGAAAACTAAAAAATAAATATTAAAATTCTCTCTATCTCTCTCCCTCTCTCTTTAAAAAAGAAAAAAGAAAGTATAAGCCACTGGGATAGGTCATGATGATGGTCATAATAATGAGATATATATAATATATATATATTCCCAGTAGGCTCATATCTTGTCTCATCCTATTTTTGTACACATACGAGTGGATTTCATGAAGGTAGTTAATGATGAACTAGACATACTTTTTTTTTTTAAGTTAGAGTCACAGATTTTCAAAATTGGAAAAAAGCTAAGAGAATGTCTAAATCAATAGCTCATGAAATTTTGAGTCCCAGACCCTTCTGAAAATCTGATGAATACCACAAAACCACTTCTTATCGAAGTTGCACATGCATCAAATTTTGCCAGTAATTTCTAGGGGCTGATTAACCTTCTGATATCCTTCCTTGGAACCTAAGTTTAGAGAGACTTGGCTAAGGTTTTACAGCTAGCTTAGTAGAAGGGTCAGGAATGGAACCCTATTTCTGTGATGTGTCCCTATCCCATGTTCTTGAAACAGAAAAATGTCTCTCCTTCCTTTTCAGCTCATGTAGTTAAACTTCAAGATCACAGTCACTCTTCCAGTGCTTCAGTTAAATGAGCTAAATGCTGAATAATTGGCATGGTTTTTATGTTGAAAAATTGGTTGAAAAATAGGGCAGATGTCGTAACATTTCAATTTAACTATCATAACTGGAAATCCTGGAAACTGTGCAGTGTCATGTTTAATGTCTGGCACATTTAGGAGAAAGGAATTAATACCCTAAGTTCCAAAGATGTTGGTGTGTGCATACAAGGAGTGGGACTGGAAATCAGTGGCTTCAACCTTTATAATTTTTCTGGGTTATCCTGGGAAAGTCATACCACCCTCAAAATTTCCTCCTGTGTTCAATGAGGATATTAGCCTAAGGTTAGATCTTATGCTACTACCTCAAATTGTGAGGTTTTGAATTCTAAGATTGTGCTAGCTGGTTAAAATATGATTGTGATCAGGAAGACCTGGGTACTGCCATGCTTGATTTTTTTCAGTTATTGTCTACTCATAGCAATATGTGGCATATGATTATGAACCCAGAAGAGCCAATGAACCAACACAAAGAAAATAGTCATAACCTCCATCCTGCAACTGCGCTGTGGCTCTGTGAACCAGGGAACATCATTCGAGGTCAGGATAATGACCAGATCTCCCTGCCCAGGAAGTTCAGTAACTGAAATACAAAGGACCTTATCCTAGGCCATTACCTACAAAACTCCAAAAAGAATAGACACCCAGGAGAGACTTCAGTGTAAAGAGTATTGTGTGAAACAACTTGCAAACATTAAGCATTTTCTTCTAATTTTAAGGCACAATTTGCATATAATAATGTGTACCTATTAAATGTATAGCTTAATGGATTCCTTGCATGGATTTGAATCTGCGCTTGGGGTTTGAAATATGAGTTGCATATTATTTATTATTAGCTCACTATTATACCCTGAGAGGAGAGTATATAGAGCAGGAGTATTCTGATGATGTATTTAATTTCTAATATTTGTAATGGTGAAGCAGTTTCTTAACTACATTAGCATAACTTATCTCTCCCTCTAATTGTTCTCTGAGAGTAAATGTCATTGTTATTACTGCATTTTACAAATAAATAAAATGAGGCTTAAAGAAGTAAAATAAGCTTCTTAGGAAAACGCTGATAGTAAACAGGTGAGCTGGGACATCAAGCCAGGACTTGGGATTCCAAACACCATGTGCCTTCCATTTACCAGGAGAGATGCTATTATTCTGAAATCATGGCTGTGTGGCCAAGAAGGTAGTATCTGGCTGACACAGAGGCCACAACAATGGGGTGCTAAACCAATACATCCCAAAGTGGGAAATTCTGTTGGAATATTTATTATCACCCACACTCTTCCCAGGTTCATTCAAATTTTTCATAAGTAGTTTGTTTGATTTAATGACTTGTTTATAACTGAGTCACTAGTCATATATCATGTGTGGATTACTAGTCCCTTCTACTTAGTCAGAGTCCTTTTGTAGCTCTACACTCTACTGTGTAGAGTGCCCTGCTCTGGGGACTGATGCAGTCTCCCTTCTTAGCCATGATCTTGAGGCTGTGGATGGTGAAGCCTTAGAGAGGGGTAGGACTTGCTTGTATGTTGCTTTTTCTAGTAAAATTCCTATTTTCTGCAGTTCTGAAAGAATGGAGATTCTACCATTCTCCCTCTCCCCCTGCCCCCCTCCCCACCACAGTTCTGGTTATCTGAGCCTCCTAAATGTCTGGATTCTGGGAGAATAAAAGTGTATTTCCTTTGGCACCCTGCAGACCCACATGGGGAAGAATGCTGACATCAGACCTTGATTTTGTGAGTGGCAGTCAGTTCAATGTGCAATCTCAGCCAAAGTCTGCTGGTGATAAGACTGAAAACTGCTTTGTTTAAAGAGAAGGCAGGGAAGAAAGCTGTTTCCTTTGCGCCCATACTGAGAGGAGAAAATGAGCGCTCTCTTCAGAATAGCTCCCCAATCAGTGTGGAATATTGGAAGTTTTTCTAAAGAGAAACAGCAGAGGAGGTCTTGAAAGACTGGGTCAGAAAGCTGGAGTAGACAGAAGAGGAAGGCTAGGGGCAGGGGGAGGGGAAACAAGGAGAGGCCAGAAAAGGAGGGAAGAGGAGGAAGGCAGAGGGACTGCAGAGCAGGGAAAACCAAGCTAAACCAACCTGGTGTTTGTGCAGCACCCTTTCCAGAGATCATTCTTTTTCAGGGAATTCGATGTTCCCCCTTTATCCTCTTTATTCTT